ATTTCAAACGCTCTCCCTCCCTCAACAAAATAGATTCGTAGTCTGTTGTTACCTGCTTCGTATTTTTCTATGTATTTAAAACACACGTGCACACACCCACCACGACTAAGACAAACATCTCTTTCTATTTTGAGAGGATTACGTAGCTGTCGCATGTCAATGAAAATTAGAAAAGCAAAACCCGTAGACTTTAAGGTTTCATGTATGTACACATGCTATATTTGTAAATAGACGTTTGGTTAATTATATAAGGCGGTTGATGTATATATGTGTATATTTAAGTGTTTATAGTATACTTTCCGAACATAGTAACATAATTGTCGGAAAAAGAAAATAACCAAGCTCTAACAAATCAGATTTTCTATAAATTTTTTATTTAGGGGACGACTATTTATTATTATCATAAGAATTATGCGTTTGTATTTCTAAAATCTGGTCCACGTTTATTCGGTCAAAGGATACCATTGGCAAAAGCAACGAATGAAAAAGATATTCTACAATGCGCCCTACCAGGCGTAATGAGATTTATGTTATATAGTTGTATCACAACAAGTTACTTCCTAAATTGTCTATCGTGCAAACTGAAGCAGCAAAAACTTGTGAGATCTGGTACATACAAACATCAGGTATACAATATGTCTGCTAAAGCGGCCTGCGTTATAAAACTTTGACGAGCATTAACTCGATTTTTAAATTCCGTTGTCACTCGCAAGTAAATTAGAAGACCTGTATCTACTGTATTTGTTCCCATTCGCAACGACAGACACGATATTTCGCTAAATGACAATATCTTTAGCACCGTTGGAAACTGTATGTAGTATGGCCACTTGTAGCATACTAAACAGGAGCACGATCGTGCACCAATGTGTTTTTTCAACGTATACGGTCCGGCAGTTTTTGTCGATGGCCATAGGCGGAATATCCTATTCAGAATAGAGCGCGTTTTGATGAGCTGGAAAACCCTTTCTATCTGTCGAAAATGCGTTTCTGTCGAGATACCTTGTCCACAACGGATCTCATTATAGTATAAAACCTGATTCGTGCCTTTTGCCTATCGTGAACTCTGCTTAACGAAAATACCCTTTTGTTTCTCACCTCGAACTTTGCGGTAGCAGATTGTGGCTCGTTACCGCGCAGGAGAGTAGTTGGGCGGCCTGACTTGAATAGCAGTCTAACAAGAAAATTTTGCTGATTTATCAAATACAATGTCGTAACAATCACCAATATGATTTCTACAAGAAAGACTTTTCGACCGAATGCGTCGTTTGCCTGAGTGAGTAGTAAGGGTGATATGTGTTCTATCGGACTGGAACGTATGTCTAATTACGGCAAACAGATTCGTCAACTGAATATAACAGGCAACCACTGAGAACTCTTAATGATTTAGGCAAGACCTTACAAGGCTTACGTTGTTCCTAGCCCTGTTAGGTAGACAATTCAGGAATTGGACTAATATTTGGAAAAGTAATTACAAAACAGGTATGGGGTCAGTTTGCGTACAGGTGCTATGCACATATTCCTACGCCTCGAACGCCATTCTCAGGGGAAATTTGCAAAAGTGCGTGATTTGTTAAATTGTAAGTAGAATTACACAGGAAAGCTTCGTTCGAAAATACGCAATTTCTTTCTATTTATTTTACCATTTTTTTCTATAGATGTTCTTGGGTCAACGACCGGGTGTTGTGTTTATTATAACAAATCCATGGTATATATTCACTAATCGCGACTGTTGCTATTTTTATAAAACAATCAACCGTGTTAGTAAGAAGGTAATAACTCCTAATGTTCTATTATTTTCTAATTATGTCAACAGCGTTACTCCTTTTTTGTTAAATACTGAGATCATTTATTGAGGCCTTTCCCAATTTTCCATGACCCTTCTTAACTTATGATTTTCAAACGAGGCACTATTAACATGGTAGACGATACCTGAATAGGCTAATAGGTTCTTTTAGTTGTGGCGGCACAAAAGACTTCTAACCGCAATGCCGTTAATATGCTGTAATAATACTTTAATAAATATAATAATAATAATGTAATTATACCCGGATCTGAGATAACATTGGCCTTTTGAGGTATAGACGAATCTATATAACAGCCATGCATGATATTACCGATGGTTGAACTGCATTTCGGCGTACCTTCCCATGCAACGCTCGACATATAAAGAGCCCGTCTATTGAGGGCTGATTGAGGTACATTCCTATCCTCTAACTCGGCCGAAACCCCGTATAGTTTTGTGTTTCCTATGTGTACATCAGAAGGCAGAACATCTGTTAAAGATTTAGTATAAAAGAAATACGCTTCGATACAAAGCTCCATAGTCGAGCCTTGCGGACCTAGAGTGGAGTATGGCTCACAAGACTTAACTGATAAGGCTAACTGTATACCATTTAACTGTCTCTGGCGAACAAGTTTTGGGGCTAACTCTGTACATTGGAAGAAGCTCGATCCATTTTTGATGAGAAGCTTACTCAGAGGCCGAGCGGATCAAGATAAATATCGTCAAAGCGTGCCGACTAATTGTCACAGAAGACCCTGTCATGATCCGTTATCAAAGGTTAAAATAGAAGACCTTCTAGGTCTGTACACCGACTGCTCATCAGTTCCCTGTACGTCCGCATACGGTTTCGCTAATTACTCTCAGGAGCTTGTCAGATTAGTCATACCAGTTTTAAAATATTAGCGTCAAACGAGATGTTTCAGCTCGTTCAACTCCCATGCAGTTTATTTTTCTCCATAAAAGCTTACTGCTAAACATTTGATATTACTGGGCGCTTCAAGTACTAAATCAATGACTGTTCTCATTACGCTCACTGTTATTGTTTTACCGAAATACTATTACGAAGGACACTGCATGCATACATGAGCTGATCGTGGATCTGTTGGTCAGACTGACTTTCAAGCTTCTCGTACATATAAGAATATGGCTGCGTGATGTCAGAACTCTCCGATTCAATCGTCGTTTTGCTGGCATCGTTTGAATGATTGGCTGGCTGGTCGACCTGCTGTCATTGAATAACTCTATTGTCGTCCCCTCGTCAACAACAGATGCTGCCTAAAAATAATCTGCGCAGGACCAATAAGGGGTTGCTATAACTACATACCGTACAAAGTAAATTCCATTCGAAGCAAACGAAGCGAGTAATCCTTGACACAATTTAAAAGTACGAGAGATAAAGGATAGCAAATGGCGGTTTGTGTTTCGTTTTTATTTGTTGTTTCACTGGATTGAAGCGACTGCTTGAAAGGAAAGGTTTGTATGTAAGATTTCCATGGGAGATAAATTCTAATGCCCACTACCTCTTACGTGAATATAAAGACATGAGGGAGGCCCGGCGAGCGCATCTCTGAATCTCCTGCTGTGCAGTCAACCAAGCCCGCGTATCGTATTTGCGTCTGCTAAGAGAGGACGCGCTGCACAGCCTGCGCAGTGAAGGCTGCTTCAGTGTTCGAGCAACCCATTGGTTTGCCTCTCTATCGACGCAAAAGCCGAGCGATGGCTGGCAAAGCTCCAGCGTGAGCCGGAAGGACGCCGATCCATCTTACTTGATACTATCACCTACCGCCGTGTTTCTATCACCCAAGAGCAAAATGTGTCTGGAGAATCAGCCGAGAACGATGCTTCTCGATGTGTCCCTGCTTTACATCCGTTTTTACATGTGCGTGCCGTCTTCGAATTGCTTCTATTAAAATAAAATGAGAACCTGGAGTTGAGGCCTCGACATTGCCAGGTCTGCGACGTTCTATTCATATGTGTAAATGTATTCCAAATCTTATACGTATTTGCACATATAATAATCCGCACACAAA